GAAGGGAGGGCAGAGGTAAGGGGAAAAAATGAGAATCAAGACTTGTCATGTAGAGGTACAAGATCCGAACAATGAATGTAACTGTACTGTATCCCTAAAATGTACCAATAAACTCAATTAAAGCTGAAAAAAAAAATCAAAAAAAAAAAAAGAAAATGTGGTACATTCATAACATGGAATGTTACTCAGCCATGAACAAAGTAGCGCTACAGATGACATGGGTGAACCTTGCAGACATTACTCTAAGTCAAAGAAGCTTATTGTAAAAGGCCATGCATGGTGTGATTCCAGAATCCAGAACAGGCAAACCCACAGAGACATTAAGTAGATTACTGGTTCCCTTCAACTCTGGCAGAAATGGAGAGCAGTAGCTAAAAGGTATGGCATTTCTTTTTAGGATGATAAAAATGTTCAAATGATACTTGTAGTGATGACTGTACAACTCTGTTAATATGCTTCAAATATTAAGCTTTTTGTAATATGAATTATAGCTCAATAATATAATAAAAGTAGTACCAAAAACGTTTAGCGGGGCATGGCAGCACATGCCTATAATCCCAGAACTCTGGGGAGTTGAGGTAGGAGAACTATGCCCAGCTTTGTGCCCAGCTCAGGCATTGTATTGGTTTAGTGAGACCCTGTATCAAAATTTTAAAAATTTAAAAAGAGCAGGGATGTAGCTCGTGTGAAGGCTCTAGTTTCAACCCACAGTACCACATGCATAAAAAGTTTATACAATAAAAAGTGGCAAGCTGGACACAGAAGTGCATGCCTATAATCCCAATACTCAGGAGGCTGAGGCAGGAGGATCACCATAGTTCAAATCCACCTGGGCTACATAGTGAGTTCAAGACCAGCCTGAGCTACATAGCAAGACCCTGTCTCAGAAACAAAAAAAAAAAGTGGATCTCCACTCTTCTAATTGCTATCCATACTGCCACTTTGAGGTTATAGTCATAGTTTAATAAATATATGCTAAGCTAGGTAACAAAAACGGGCTGGGCATGGTAGTGCACATCGGCAATCCTGGCACTCAGGAGGCTGAGGCAGGAGGATCGTTGCAATTTCAAAACCAGCCTGGGCTACACAGCCAGACTGTGTCTCAAAAAAACATAAAACAAATGCCAGGGATTTAGCTCAGTGGTGCTGCACCTGCCTGGCAAGTGCAAGGTCTTGAGTTTGATTCTTGGTACCAAAAAAAACCAAAAAACAAAAAACAAAACAGGCTCATACTATCCATTCTATACTGTACCTGCAATATATATTTAATATATATAGTAGAGGGATTTTCGTATTCAAATGTACATATTTGTACCTTATTCTTTTTTTTTTTTTTTTTTTTTTTTTTTTTTTTTTTCTGGTGCTGGGGATCGAACTCAGGGGATCTTGTGTTGCCAGACAGGCCTAGCACAACACTGAGCTAAATCCCTGGCCCTACCTATTCTTGTAAATGGCTACATAATACTTAATAACACACAGCAGCTCCTGTTTATATAAAGCATTTACATGTCAGGCACTGTTCTAAGAGCTTTACAGATTAACTTATCTTAACTCTTTAAGTTCTACTATTTGTCTGTTTTACAGAGAAATAAACTGAGACACACAGATATACCATAATTTATTTTACCTTCCATTAAACATTTAAATTTTTTTTAAATTAGATTTTGTTCCAGGAAACATTCTCATGCATAGAATTCTACACACTTGTGATGATGATTTATAAGTTCTGAGCAGTTCTGAATCAGTAGATAGGTATACTTAAGAACTGTATAAGCCAGGGGTAGTGGCACACACCTGTGATCCCAGCACTTGGGAGGTTGAGGCAGGGTGACTGCATGAGCTCGAGGCCAGCCTGGGCTACACAGTGAGTTCAAGGCCAGCCTGAACAACACAGAGAGATGCTGTCTCAATTAAAAAACTAAATGAATAAATACATGAATAAAAATTAAAATTAAAAAGGGATGGGGAGGGCCGGGGATTTAGCTCAGTGATTCCACTGCCTGCCTCAAAGTGCAAGGACCCAAGTTTGGTCCCCAGTAAAAAAAAAAAAAGGTGGGGGGGCTGGAGATATAGCTCAGTGCAAAGGCCCTGGGTTCAATCCCTAGTACTTCAAGAAAAAATTAAAAAGTATACAGGACAGAGGATATGGTTCAGTGGTAGAGAGCTTGCCCAGCACGTGTGAGGCCTTAGGTTCAATCCTCAACACCACCACCAAAAATATATATATATAGACAGTGCTAACACACCCTCCAGGTGGCTGCCGCAGCTTACACAGCCTGCTCGGCAGAGCTGAGTATCAGGGTCCCCAACTTCTTCTGCCCTTTGAGCTACTCACATCCTCCTTGCCATCTGCCCACAGAAACCTTCCACACTGTGCTTGGCCCTAGCTACTCCTGCTGTGCAGCCAGGACTCCCTTTGCACTCAGTGACCCTCACAATCGCACCCTACCAACCACAGCTGTCTCAGCAGAGTTCCTGACAGTAACGTCTTGCCTCTCAGGCTTCAGCCCGCTGCAAGACGGGCATGGAGATGGAGGGGAGCCATGTAGGGTGCTCTCTGCAGGGAGAGCCCAAACAATCCTCCAGTGGTCCCACTCCATCACCTGCTGCCACTTGATCACCCACCTCAGCTTCTGCTAGGTTGATCTGTCTTTCCAGATCCTCAGGGATCATTTTCCCTCTGAAAAAGAAACCTGAATGAGTAGAGAAGGCACAGGCCCTCTGGGCACAAGGCATCACCATGCTGAAGGCAGGGCAAGGGTGGGTCAGCAACACAGGACCTTCATGCTGATCCCTGTTAAGAGGGGTGGAACAGATCTCAGGAAACAAGGGTAGCAGGACACTGGCAGGCACTGGGAGACAGGAGTGACAATTCTACAGGAAGAGAAGGCCACAAGGATGCCTGGCCTGAGGCCAGAGCTTGCTGGGAGCAGGAAGGTGCACTGTGCCAAGCTGGGTCAGGGTCATGTTGGCAGAAGGACCTTCACCTCTCATCAGCCTTGACCACTCGGACACTGTCAGTGCCAAGTCCCAGAAAAGCCGCTCCCTTGTTGATGGAGTAGTGACACTGTGGAAGAATACAGAGGTTAGCAGGACCTCAGCAGGGATCAGAAGGCAGGGACAATGGGGAGGAGAGAGACTGGTAAAAGTCAAGTGCGCTCTGGAGTAGATGGAACTGCAGGCCAGGGCTTCTCAAATGTGCGTGTGCACAAAGTGCCCATGGAGCTGGCTGACACGCACATGAGCATTCGGGAGGCCTAGTGGGCCTGAGACTCTGTGTGTTTAAGAATCTCCTAGGCAGCCGAGCTGGTGGTGCACGCCTATAATCCCAGCACTCGGGAGGCTGAGACAGGAGGATCACTGTGAGTTCAAGACCAGCCTGGGCTACATAGTGAGTTCCAGGTCAGTCTCAACTACATAGCGAGACCCTGTCTCAAAAAACAAAACAAAACAAAACAAACAAAAAAAACCTCCTAGGCAGCACTGATGCAGATGGTCAGGGGCCACACTCTGAGAAGGAAGAGTGTAAGCTGTGCCCACTGCCCTCTCCCACCCAGAATGCAAGACAACCATGCAACCATGACCTGTATATGGCCTCCCCGACTGAAGGAAACATCCACTTAGAGGTGGAGAAGGGAGGAAGGAAGATCTGAAGAGTCTCTGACAGAGCTGGCTCAAGATTAGAATCCAGAGCCCAGGGTTGCGCCTCTGCTCTTCCCCACCTCTTCTGATGTGAAGATGGCCAAGGGTGGCAGTGCCCGAAGGCCCCTCTGCTTGCAGTCTGGGTAGCGCTGATAGCGGGCGAGGTTCATCGCATACATGTTAGAAATGGAGCCACCTGTTACAGGGGGAGGTGGTGGCAAAAGGGAGAGGTGATGAATCAGGGCTGGGGCTTGCACCTCTGACCATTCCACCCCGCACTGATTAAAGTAGCAGGCTGACTGGCTCCCCAGCTGTGACTCCCAGGGCTGTACAAGTGCACAGGAACCCACAACCAGTGCTACCCCAGGAGACGCCCCCACCCTGACAGAAGGTACTTGAGTGTGCCTGTGAGGGGCTGTTGGCAAACACCAGGATAAAGGGGACTGGGCAGTCTCCTCTGTGGTCTGGCCCTGGGCCCAGGGAGAGAGAAATTACCCCTCCCTGCCCATTGCTTAGAATAAGGGAATGGTGGGGAAGAGGAGCCCTAACAAGGCCTAAGAAAGGCCCCTCCTTCTCACATACCAGGGCAGAAGACCCCATCCCCAGAGCTCCAGCCCACCAGGGCCCGGAGTTTCTTCAGCACCTCCTCTTCCATGAGTACAAACACAGGGGCGATCTCATACGTGTACCTGCCAGAAGAGCACTGATGAGAAAGGCAAAGAGATACGAGGGGCTTCCAGGCCAGGCCCTCCAACTATAGGAGTCAGAGAGGGGAGATGCTGAGATGTGAAGGAATGGAAGGAAGGAATGTGAAGGAAGCTGAGAATGAGCTGGTGACAAAGAAGCAAGCAAGTACACTCTGTGCCAGAAGGCCAGGCCCGGCAGGGGTGGCTTTCAGAGGCTGAATCTGCCGGTGATAGCAGTGAGCCTCTGCTCTGCTGCCTACATCCAGCGGAGACCAGCAGTCTAACTGCTTCCCCATTTACCAATGTAAGTGGGGACAAGCCTCAGCTTGGGGAGCCACCATGGACTAGGGCTCACAGACAGAAGGGCCTCTGGAGCAGGGGGTCACACTACAAACCCACAAGCTATAAGGCTGGACAGAGGAATGTGACTTGCTGGATTCCAAGACTGCAGGTTCTGGAAGGAAAGCAATCATTTGGAAATACAGGAGGCCAGGAAAAGCTTGGAGAACAGGAGCTTAAAGAACAGGAGGGAAAACATCACCAGCAGGTATTCCCAGAAAATGGCAGAGGGTGGGGAAACATTCTCCTCCCCAACCCCTGAGCTACCTGCCCTGCAAACCTAAGCCCTCTGCAGGATGGAGGGAGGGGCCTTGGGGGGCTCACTGGCTGGTGTTGAGGCTCTCAGTGATAATGCGCCCGGCCAGAGCATGGGGGTCCAACCCAGAGAAGAGTTGGTTGAAGAACCGGGGGTGACCTGGAGAAGGGGGAGCAGGGAAGGGAGCTCAGCATGGAGCTGGGTACAAGTACCAGAGTCCTCCCACCAGAACCCACCTCGCACCAGTCTTGACGCTGTAGTGAATCACAGCCCGGCAGCGCTCCAGGATCTTCTCCTGGGCCTCTCCATGGCTCTGTAGCTCCAAATCCAGCAGCTGCTTTAGCTCCTCAGGCTCCTTCCACTCACAGACCTAGGTAGGAGAAGGAGCCAGGGGTTTGGGGACCCCACACCCTGTGGACTGGCTGACCCAGCCGCAGTTCATGAGATGCAAGACATCACCAACTTGCACTTAAAACAATTCAAGAACATCAAAGTGATGCAGGAAAAGAGGGTAAAAAACATAAGATTCAGAATGCAAATTCCTGAGACACATGGGGACAGGGATGTATTCTGAGTGAAGCCTCATCAAAGGAGAGAAGTTTGAAGCCAGGTGCGGAAGAGAAAGGGAAGGCCTGATGGGCAGGGGAGGAAGGAGAAAGACATACCTTCTCAGAGGCCCTGGTCCCTTTCTGAATGGCCTCTTCCACAATGATCTCAAACACATCCCGGAGCCAGGCCTCTGCAGCCATTGGATCCCCATCGAGGGAGGGCAGTTGTTTTGTGTCAGCCATTAGGATAAAACCTATGTACAGAGCAAGAGTGACTCCCTGCTCAGGCTGCACCTAAACACCAAGACACTCCACCCCACTGGGCCCAAGGGCCCAGGGCCTGCAGCTGAGTCCTGCCCTTCAGTGCACAGATAAGGGAAAGCCAGTGGAAACAGCCAGGATAGAAAGCAGTTAGTTAGCCAAGCAGGTGGACTGAATAGACACTGTCTTCCTGAGGCAAAGAGGAGAAGCTTACCTTTCTGCTCAGGTCTCTATTCGGGCAGGGCACACAATGAGCTTTCCAGACTAGTAGGACCAAGACAGCAACAGGAGTGAGGTAAAGCCAACTGTCACATGGCCATGGCATATTGCTCATGACCCTTGCCCGAAAGAGAACTTTCACAGACTTGGGACAGGGACAACAGGTTAAGCTCCCTGAATAATCATTAGCTGACAGAAGAGAGCAGGACAAAAGAAAGGCAAAAAGGGCAGGTAGCACAGGAACCTCAGGGTTAAGAGGGGCAAGGAACCCACGTGCAGCACAGAAGAGGGGACCACCACCACAAATCCCAGCACTCAGAGTGGGGTGTGGGAGATAATGAGGGACAAGGTCTAGCAGTGGCCCTGGACACTGGTGGGGGAGGGATCCTGGGACACAGAAACAAAATGGCTTAAGCATTCCTCAGAGGCCAATGTCTTCTTCGTCCCAGGCCAAAGTTTTCACAACTGTCCTGATTTCTAAGGCCTTCTCCTAGAGCAGAAAGGAAAGACAGTCATATTGAGGAAGGATTTTATGACACAAATCCTCGGCCATACAAACTGACACTGAGCTCTCCTATCTCTCAAGGATACAGGTGCACACACTGCAGTTACAAGCCAGGGCAGGACTTGATGCAGACCCTAAGTGTCCTCAAAATTCAGGAAAGGAGACTTAGAAAGCTAAAGATGGAGGAAGACTTGCAACAAGATGGAAGTGGAGTATGGAGAGCAGGCAGGAGAAACGGGAGAGGTGAAAGGGAGGAGAGGAGCACAGGATAGGGAGAGGATTGCAATCAGCTTACATGGCAAGTGAGGAGGGCTAGTCCTGGGGTCAGTGAAGGAAAGTGCCACTGGAAGGAATATGGGAGCCAATGCAGAGTGGGCACAGCTACGTGAGACAGCGGTGAGTCTAAGGTGCTAGTGAGGCTAAAGTATCTAAATTTTACCCTGCAGAAAATGGGAAGTCCCTGGAAAGATTCTGTAGCAAGGAATTATGTGATCAAACTGATACTTTCAGAAGACTGCATTATAGCAGCAGGCTGCCAGAGAATTAACAGGCAAGAGGTGATCTAGGGCCGGGAATTTAGCTCAGTGGTGCCACCGCCTGCTTCACAAAGCAAGATCCTGAGTTTGATCCCTGGTACCCCCACCAAAAAGTGGTGACCTATATTTGCATAAGGGTAGGGTAGTAGGAAAGCACACAGAAGAACTTGCAGCTGCAGGCTTGGTCATTCCCTGCATTGCACTTAATGCAACGCTTTTTCTTTGAATTAATATATATATATTTATATTTACATTTATATTTATTTATATAGTCCAGGCTGGCCTTGAACTCACTGTGTAGCTCAGGTTGGCCTCCAACTAGTAGTAGTCCTCAGTCTTCTCACCTTAGCCTCCCAATTTCTGGGATAACAGGCACCCACCACCACACCCAACCCATGGGCAATACTTTTAGAATCTATGCTGAAAGAGAAAAAAGAGCCAGAAATGACCCTGGAGTTTCACACCAGTGTGACTAGGAAAAATGGTGCCCTGCAACAAATATGAATGTAGAAGAGAGAAACTGGATGGAAAATATAACAGTGATTTCTTGGAAATATTCATCCAAGTGGAGGCTTTCTGGGACTACACATGGCCACAGGAGCAAAGTCAGGCCTAGAGTTCTGACGAGACACAAAGGGAAAGCAGATGTGAGAGTTAGGGTTAGCTGAGCTGTGGGACGGGTTCCATCCTCCACAGGAGGAATGGTAGGGATAGACAGGCAAACATCAGGTCTGGAGGACTCCACCCAAGAGGAGAGAACCCAGAACAGGGCTGGTAGGCTGCTCAGACATAATCCCCTATCAACAGCTACTAGGACTCACTAGGTAGAAACATGGGTTTAAGGAAGCCTGGTGGTCTGACTTCTTAAGCACTTCTTGAGTAATGCTGGGTTTGTTTTTGGTTTTGGTTTTTTTGTGATACCAGGGATCAAACTCAGAACCTTGTGCTTATGAGGCAGGTGCAGTACCACTGAGCTAAATCCCGGGCCCTAGTAATGCTGGGTTTGAGAAGTGGAGCACCGGCGCAGGCCTTGAGAATGCGGGAGCCAGTCCTTCCCAAACAATCAGGCCAGCACCCCTGATGGCAGTAGCTGTGGAGTGCAGAGGTCAAGAAGCTAATACAAACTGGTCCTTGTGGAGCCAGGCATGGTGGCACATGTGTAATTCCAGCTATTCAGGAGGCTGAAGTCAAAGGATGACAAATTAGAGGCCATTCTGGGCAACTTAGTGAGATCTGGTCTCAAAATAGAAAATAAAAAAAGGTAGTAATGAAGCTGTGAGAGAGGATCTCTGGATTCAATCCCCAGGATAGTGAAAAAATAAACATAAAAATAAACCAAACATGGTGGAGTGAGACTGTAATCCCAAGACTGTGAGGCTGAGGCAGGAGAATCCAAGTTAAGAGCCCAGGTAAGGCAAATTAGGGACTTAGCAAGACCCTGTATCAAAATTTTAAAAGGTCTGGAGGTGTAACTTAGTGCAAAGGCCCTAGATTCAATCCCCAGCACTGCAAAAATAAAATTAAAACATAGGCCCTGTGGGCTGGGGTGTAGCTCAGTGGCAGAATGCTTGCCTAGCTTGTGTGAGGCCCTAGGTTCCACCCCTGGCATTGTAAAAACAAACAAAAAGTCCCACTTTAGTCCTTACCATGATACTCCCAGTATTTAAAATGCATTATGCTAATCTTCAAAGCTGATTAGAGTTAACTTTGTACCTGCACTTAAAGGAGGAAACTGACTTTCAGAGATACTATGTGCTTTGTCCAGTAACACAGCCAGTGCCTGGCGGAGCTGGGTGTAGACACAGGTGTGTCTGGCTTTGAGACCTCTTTGGTACCTCACACTCAGCTCTGTGTATTTAGCTGTGCCCTGCTTGTGCCTTCCAAGAGAACCAGTGCTCTCCTTCCTGATCCTTCCGGGCTTCTACCCTAAACACCAGCTTGTTTCCTACTGGGCTTCTGCAGATATACTATAGTGGCCTTGACTTCCTGCTGTTGACCACCAAACCAGTTACCACTTTTCCTCTGTCTTCTGTCTTCAGTGATTATTGTCAGCTCTCTCACTTCCTGTCTCTTCTCATTAGCCTTATTTTTTTGGATCAAAATTTTGCTGGTGTAATCTTTGTGGGCCTTCAGAAGGAGTTGTGGCAGATGTTGTAATTTAATCTGCTGTGTCTAACTGGAATGAGTACACTGACCACAAATTTATAATGACACTAGTTTGAAAGTTTATGTATTTTGCTTTTTAAGAAATTTTTTCAGTACTAGCAAGCTGGGCGTAGTGGCGCATGCCTATAATCCCAACACTCGGGAGGCTGAGGCAGGAGGATCACTGTGAGTTCAAGACCAGTCTGGTCTACATAGTGAGTTCCAGGTCAGTCAACTTTGTAGTGAGACCCTGTCTCAAAAAACAAAAAACAAAAATAAAAAATAAAAAAAATTTCAGTACTGGGGACTGAATCAAGGATTTTTGCACTGAGCTTCATCACCAGCCCTTTTTAAATTTTTTATTCTAAGACGGGGTCTTTTTATTTATTTGTTTGTTTATTTATTTCAGGGTCTTGCTAAGTCACTAAGTTTCCCAGAGCAGGCTAGAACTTTTGATCCTCTTGCCCCAGCTTCCCAGGATGCTGGATTAGAGGTATGCTCACCACATCTGGCTTAGTTATAAGGTTTTGCAACACCCACCAGGCCTGGTGAATTTGGTGAGACAAAGACAGGCCAGTTGGACAGAGGGGTTTTGCCAGGCGGTTTTGGTGGAAAGCAGAGCCAGGGAGTTTAAGATATTGGGAAGACAATGGATAAAACAAGAGACCATGCAATCTAGGTTGGAAACATAAAGTCAGGAAAGATATGAGGTAGATATATGGTAGGACAAATATGGGTTAGAGATCCCATAAACCAGAAAAAATGGGCATTTTAAAACAAAACAAACTGCATGAACTGAAAACATGTACTAAAAGGTTAAAATTTAAAAATAAATAAAAGAGGGTGTGGTGGCCCACACCTGTAATCCAAGCACCCCAGAGGTTAAAGCAGGAGGATCGCTGTGAGTTTGAGGCCCGCCTGGGCTACATAGCGAGTTCAGAGTGAGCCTTAATTACAAAGGGAGACCTTGTTTCAAAAGAAAAACAAACAGGGGCTGGGGATTTAGCTCAGTGGTTCGGTGGCCTGCCTTGCAAGCGCAAGGACCCAAGTTCGATCCAAAAAAAACAAACAAAAAATAACAATAGTAACAATAATAATAATAATAAATAATAAAACAAACATTGTTTGGTCCTACCAGCATCTTTGCAGCTGAGGACCAAGTGCAGTTCCTAACTCTATTCACAGTTCTTTGCTTAGCTATCTTGTGGAGATTAAATGAAAATCTGTATAAAACAGTTGGACCCTCATTCTCCTACCCCTGCCCATTCAGCCCCTTCTACCTCCTTTTTTTTTTTTTTTTTTTTTTTTTGGCAGTACTCAGGATCGAACTCAGGACCCTGTGCTTCCAAGGCAGGCATGGTGCCACTGAGCTAAATTCCCAGCCCTCTATCTCCCTTTCTAAAGGCAGGTTATAGTATAAGTCCTGGACAATGGAAGATCCCAAGATTTCCGAAGACAATGGAAGCCCCAAAGACTTCCCAAGATAAAACAAATAGACACCAGGTCACAGGCAAAAGACAGGGGTCAGAGGCATGCACTTTTCTCCAATACAGACAGGTGAGAGAATTCCCAGGACCATAATGAAGTTAGTACCTATCTTCAGAGGAAAAAGGTAGTGGCTATGCTCAGCCAAAAGTGCAATACCACCTGGCAACACTACTATTTTTGTTAATGACTCTATTTCAGATTCTCTTAGCTATTTCAAAATTTTTCCATACCGCTTCCTTTTTTATTTTTTTCGTACCGGGGATCGAACTCAGGCTCTCGCACTTGCGAGGCAGGCGGCAGAACCACTGAGCCAAATCCCTGGCCCTCCATACTCTTGAATTACTGGCCCACCCGACTTCTCCCTCCTTGTCTTATTTCTCAATTTTCCTAGAGAAAATAAAGCCATCAAAACTCACTCAATTTTTAACTCCCTACACTCTGAATCAGTCTATTCAATACCTCGTGTGTGCCATGCACTTCAGTGTCACTAAAGGGGTAATGGCGAGCACAAGACAGTTCAGCCTCATTGAATTCCACAGTCAACAGCAAACATCACAAAGGTGAAAATGGGAACCAAATCCCATCTATCCATAGACAGACATGGCTTTGTTTGGCAGACATATTATACTTACATTTCTAAAAAAAATAATTATTGGGAGAGCTGAGCACGGTGGCACACATCTGCAATATCAACACTCAGAAAGCTGAGGCAGAAGGATTGCTGGGAGTTTGAGGTCAAACTGGGATACACAGTGAGTTCAAGGCCAGCCTAAACTACATAGCAAAACCTTTATCTCAAAAGCCAAAATAATGAGGATGTACCTCAGTGGTGTAGAGGGTTTGATCTCCAGCACCAAACACAAAAATAACAGTAACAAAAAGAACTGTCAACAATGAAAGATATTTCACAAAAAAATACTGACATCCAGGTTCCTGGGGGGGAAAAATCAGAAGTGGCAAAAATGAACCTGAAATAATCAATATGAACAAGCAGCTTAGTTGGAGCTACCCCTGTATTATTAGTTTTACATTTCATCATGCTTCCTTTTCAGTTTTTAACTTAAGCAATATACTCGCACAGTTCAAAAATCAAAACACAAAAATATGAATACAGCAAGAAACCTAATTCCCATACCTCTCCATATCCCCCATTAGCACTCTAACCCACACAGCTAACCATTTTTATTAGTTTCTTGGGCATTCTCTTCTATAGACAGCTAAGTTATTCAGAAATATTACAGGCAGTCAGACTGGGCTAGGCCCCCATAAGAAGTCACTGCAGCAGACATCTGTGGCTGGAGGTGCACTTGTTGAAGGTTAGGCTTCAAGATGAAGAAAAATGACTACACCCACACACTTCCCCTAGGGATGAACAGCAGTGACTGACATTCCAAATAAGCATCAATACACTTGCTAGCTTGCTACATGACTTGCTTGCCCATTTGATCCCCATTTAATCAATATTACCTAAGCAACTATACTTGTAATCTTATTAGTTGACCATAGTTTTGTCCGCCTTATACTCGCCTCATGATTTCATCTCCACCTCATGATTCTGCTCTATAAAGCCTCCCCTGTAAGTAGAGTCAGCACCAACCTACTGAGGA